CTCTGGGAAGCCATGAAAGCGACCGGGGAGCGCCGAGAACCTTCCTGCCTCCGCTGGACTTCGTGCGTGCCTTGCGACTGCAATAGACATCCAGAAGCAGCGGGGGCTGTCAGGCTGGAAGCCCAAACCCAATTAGCCACAAAAGCTGCTTCTGGACACCTATTGCAGTTGCGAGGAGCACATGGAGAAAGGTGTGAAGTCCAGCGGAGGCAGGAAGGTTCTCGGCGCTCCTGAGAACCTTCCTGCCTCCGCTAGTTGCCACTTGCCCAGCTGGCATGGCCCCACGCGAGCGCCTCCTCCTCCTCCTCTTCACTCCCCAAAGGCTCTTCTCCTCCTTACTGGAGCTCAGCAGGAGCTGGGCACAAGGGATGGGAGGAAAACCACACCTTGGAAAACTTCGCCGGGAAAGGAGGCGGGGAACCAGTGGGGGGGTGGGGACGCCCTGGAAGACCCCCATGCTTTGCTGGCAGCCACGCCTCCTAGGCAAGTTCAGGGAGGTCCTAGGAGGCTGGCCGCACTACACAAGCTACCACCCGCGAGCGGCGAAGGAATGGGCGGGGCAAGCAAGTGAGGGGGGCAGGGCAGGCGCTCTGTGATGAACCTCTTTTAACCGGTACGGTATATTTCTGGAAGCTCTTCTACTGAACCGGTTAGAACCGGCAGAAACCCACCCCTGTAGTAATCCTAACGATAATAACAAATGTTTTCTACCTTCCTCATCTCAGTTTTGTCACAGAAGTTATCGGTACCCAGGTAGTCTTGAAACAAAACAAAAATAGGTAGAATAGAACCTGAGACCACTGAGATATCGCAAGGCTACAGTTGAAAAAAAAATCATAGAAGAAGACAGTACAAATCACTTCTACCAAATTGCTAAAAAAAAAAACCACCAATGCCGTCTCTCAAACTTGATGTCAACATTAAGAAAAGCATCAAAGAGCTTACGTGATAGAGGGGAACGGTGTTGCTTTCAGCTAAGGAGAAATTTAGGACATCCTGCTGTCCCGGTTCAAGCCGTACATTAGTAGACGAGGTCATCATGGAGGAGCTCACAGGATAATTAGGACTGCCACTGTTTTTGCCCTTCTTCCTGGACCGCCGGCCTGTATCACGCTTGTTATCTTTCTGGGTCAACGGTTCTTCCTGGATCACTAAGATCTTGTCATCACTCAGGTATCGTAGGAGCGAGTTCTCAGAATCTTTTGTCAGAGCGAGGAAGGAGAAAAAGAGGAAAGTGAGACCTAAAGAGAACCATCTTTGTCCTTATGCTGATTCAGAGAAAAACGTGCTAACTGGCCTCGTTCCCCCTGGATTTGTAAGTCCTCTTTTCTAGTGCAGTGTCTACGAAGAGATGAGAATCTGAAAATGGGTAGAAGCAAGCATGACTTCATGAGTCATGGTGCTAGATGGATTGTCTCCAGAACACCACAGTTCAAGTTAACCATGGTTTTTGGCATAGGAACCCAATTTAAGTTGGCTTGGAGCTCAACCCATGCTTTGGAGGACACATTGAAAGCTATACTGTATTTCAAAAGCAGGCAGAGCTAATGCCAATTTTCTGGGAAGAATTTAGGAATGGTAAGAGATTAAGAGGGGGCTTAAATATGATGGAGAAACCTTAGTAAAATGGCTATCAGACAAATCACTAGAGTTTGCTCAAGGGAGCGTCACATCTAGAAATGTATGTTTTGAGCAACCCAATTTTAAAAACTCCAACTTTTGTAGAGCACAATGATTACAAAATGTGACTTCAGAACTTCTCTTGGAGAAATGACAGCAGCCTAGATAGATTGATTGCTTATTACCGAAAGTCTTCAAAACTTCATAATATCATCAATGAACCATTTCTGAACTTCACCCCAACTAAAGATTACCATGAATTTAAGAGGATGGACACATCTGAAGAAGTTCAAGGACATTAGATTAGAAGTGGTATATACAGAAGCAACAACACGCAGGAGAGAACAGAATATTGGACAGTTTTCATTAGTTACCTTGGCTCATTTCTTAATCAGTGTTTATGAGGTAGGAATGTCAGAGAAATATGTTATTATGACCCTCAATTTAAGTGAATTCATCAAATCCCCATTTTTCAGTCTCCCCTGGAAGGAGACTTCTTTTAGAATCCACATGTTCATCAGATTCTGTGCATGTCTAAACACATCGGTGGGATCTACTTTTCCACATACTTTAGGAAACTGCTTACAAAAATGTGCTTATTGAGGAAGGAGACATGCAAAAAGGTACATATGTATGAAAATAAATGTGAAGAAAAAGAAATTTGATTTTCATTTGCAGAAATTTGCTGGTAGGTCAATAAGACCAATTACATGCAAATCAGAAATATACAGCCATCCCTTTATGCCTCTTGCTGAAAAATAGCCCCGGGGCTCCTTGGTGCTCTGTGAGCTTGGTTGTTTGCAAATGTTTCATTATTCAAACTAGGTAGCATCATCAGATGTTACCTAATTTGGGCAATGAAACATCTGCAAGAAAACATGGGCAGGGCTAGTCTAATGAAGGGAAGGACTGGGGAGACATGATAGCAGTCTTCCAAATTTGAGGGGCTGCCACAGAGAGGGGTGTGTGTCAGAGAGTCTCATCAGATTCTGACCAGTTCTAACGAACCGGTAGCAGACATTTTGAGTAGTTTGAGGAACTGGCAAATACCACCTCTGGCCACCCCATCCCCAATCTATTCACTGCCTCCTGAGCACCAGCCTCCAGCTGTGTCTTCTTTTGTTGCCCTGCACAGAAGAACAGAGCTGGAAAGCAGGTTGGTGGGGTGGGGAGGGAATGGGGATTTTGAAGTATCCTTCCCCTGGAGTGTGGTGGGAATGGAGATTTTACAGTATCCTTCCCCTGGAGTGTGGTGGGAATGGA